TAATATTAAAACTGAAATAAAAATGAATACAAACTATACAGACATATTTAAAAATAGTAATAATGAAAATAAACATGACAAAAACTAATGTAAAAATTTATTTCAGCTATTGCAGGGCAATATTTACTAAAATAACTCAAACTGAAATAAAAATGATTTAAAATGAACCAAAACCTTCTAAAATGACGAAAGCACACAACGAAATTACTAAAATTTTAACTACAAATGAAAATGGAAATTTAAAAAAATTAAAAAACTGATTAGAAAAATACTAATAAAAACTCTAATAGCTATCTCAGTGGATCTACAATAACACAGCAGAGTTAACATCTGAATGAGCATCAGTGGACAAAGGCACCTCTGGCCCGCGGCGTATCACAGCCAAACCTCGAGTCTTCTCTCTGGTTTATCAGACCTGTGAAGCTCTGTGAAGTCATCCGGAGGAGGAGAGGCAGGTTAAAGTGTGCAATTCGCTTTGGCTGAACAGAAATCCTTCCCATCCGCCCCAAAACCTTTGAACTGCGGGAAACAATTTGTGCGTGTGAGACATTCTCTCTCTGCTTCACTAACGCACTTACACTATTAAACATTTCATGGTGTTCATTCACTGTTCCTGACAGATCTGAGAGCCAAAGCCACAAAGGGATATGAAATCAAACCGAGTCCCGCCGTTATCTGTCGAGACTCACACAACATATCAGAAAGTACAGGCTGCCATTTCAAACCGCTAGACATCAGTCATAAAGCATGCATCCAAATCTGGGTAAGCGGAATGAGACGGAATGATTAAATATGGATTAATAATCAGAAAGCACACAGACAGAGGATGAATATGACTCTAAATATGCATCAAAGGAGCTGTGTTAGTGAATATTAATGAAAGACAAGCCTTCGGCTCTCTGGAAACTCTGGAAAAAAACACAACAAATCAAACACTGAGACAAATACTATATTTTCCCGTTTAATAATTTTTGCATGGCGGAAGAAAACAGCCCTCTTTATCATTCAACACGACATACCCTAGGAATATAAATGAGCCGCTTTGGGTTTTTTAACATTCAGAGTGGTAAACGGCGAAATCCAGTAAAAATCAGCCGAACATTAAGTCAAGCTGACGTTTCTCTTAGACACAAACGGAGAGTCTTTATGCATTATGCCACATGGCTGGTACTCCTCACATGTAAACCTTTGGTCTTAGAAAGACTGATATTAGTACAGCACTATTTATATATCAACGCTGCTGAAGAAGAAATGTGGATGTGTTCTAAACCCTAGTGAGCTCCCTACATAGGCAGCTACCTTCTAAGGGAGCATCTGAACTGATTTGGAACACTCTACAGCATCAGAGAGACTCGACTCACATTTGATTTCAGTAGATCTGGGGCCTCAGCAAACTAAGCTAACAATAAAGAAAAATATCTAGTGCACATGAATGTTGGGTAAAACAGTGCATTTTTAATTCAGTTGAACTATTCTCTTTGACACTTTTGGGTATTGAATTTGGGACATTTTTAGGGATAGATTTTTCACTCGTTGGAATGCATTACAGTATATGCCTGATTTCACTATGAAGGACACGTATGACTAATAATTTGCGTTTGTTTAAATGGCACAAAAAAAAATTTCTAAGTCTTTTCCCCAATTTTATGAGGTAGTGATTTATGAATGTATACACAGTGTTATTTTAGTATCACTGAGATGCTATTATAGTTTGTATTAATATTATTATTGTTTTCATTAGTGATATTCATATTATGAGTTTTGTTTTAATTTTAGTAAAAATGTTAGTAATGCCTTTGTCTGTTTTAGTCATTTTTATTCGTTTTGTTAATTTGAATGAGTGATTTTTATAATTTCTGTTTTCATTTTAGTTAAAATTGTAGTAATTTTGTTGTGTTTTTGTCATTTTGGTTAGTTTTTTTTATTTTGAGTTAGTCATTTTTCTTTTTTAATTTTAGCTAAAGTTTTAGTAATTTCATTGTGTGCTTGTCATAGTTTTTTTATTTTGAATTAGTCATTTTTATATTTGTTCATTTTAGTTAGAATTTTTGTAATTTCACTGTTTTTGTCATTTATTATTATTATTATTTTCAAATATAGTTTTTGTTAATTTTCCAGTTTTATTTCGTTTCAAGTAACATAAATGTAAAACTTTATTTGTTTTTGTTAATTATAACATCCCTGATCACTCAGCCACTGTTGCTCAGATTTGTTACCTTTAGTACAAAGAGCATATCACTTATAATTACCCTTTATCTGAACAGCATCTATTTGCACTAGAGGTTACTATTTATTCAATACTATTTATAGCGTATATAGTGCTGCTACCCATAATGTGTCCTGAAAGAGGATTTCTTAGAAGGCAACTCGTAGTTTGGAACATCCTTCATACATATGATGCATTAAAAACAATGCCTAGGTAGGCAGCCCCTAAAAATAAAGATTCTTTATTGGCATGGTTCTGTGAAGAACCTTTAACATGCATTTAACAACAGTTTACCAAAAGGTTCTTTGCCGACCCAAAAATGGCTCTTCAGTGGCATTACTTACTTATTTTTAAGAGTGCAGGGTTTAGAAAGCAAGCCATCGACTCCTTTCCTATACACATTGGTAGATGTCACCTATGCTATGACAATAATAAATACTAAAGAAAGGAGCAAATCTGAATTCTGAATCCAGACCAAACCCATTTGTATGGCAAAGTCGTCACGTACCAAATGAGTTGAGCACAAACGGCGGCCCATGCCGGATTTAATTGACCTGGCGCAAGATGGAAGGAAATGGGCTCAATCCTGCTGAAGGAGAAAATAGGCACATTTACTGGATGTCAGAATTGACAGACACAAGATCGCTGGCAATATTCTGAGGCACATCCTGATTGGCTGCTTCAGAGCCCAATTCAAGCATTAGGAACAAGGATTTTGAAAAGAATTCTCAAGGGTCCAAATTACAGGGCATGAAAACAAACCAGCTCTCGACACACACACACACACACACACACACACACACACACACACACTCTCTCACACACACTCACACACACTCACTCGCTCTTGCTCTCTCACACAATACCGCTGATGAACTGCCGAGATAGATGTAGTTTTGCCAGGCAGATTTCCTTCATATTCTTGAGTAAGTGCTTGTTGTTCATTTCCCGTTCGCGCAGTAAGAGTCTGCATCTGCTCCGGCACACAGGATCTCCGGACCACCGGTGGCTTTGGCTGTGAAATGACCTGCTGGAGCTTCCTCGTTTTTGGCCTGCGTGACATAACAAGAGCACAAACGCATCTGTAAATAGAGTCGCTCAACATATTAATGGTGCAGCAACTGTGAATTAGGAGCTATACAATAACAATAACAAACCCTGGTTTTTCTTTACATTTGTAAAGCAAAAATGAGGTTTACATTCGTAAATCGAGTTGTTCTAACCATATAATCATGCCTCTTTCAGACTTGCACTCTATTCATTTACTAGCTTCTCTATTCTTTTTGTATTCTATCTATTTGTTTTCTTTTTATTTATTATACAATTAACAAAAAGCAAAAAAAGACCTCTAACACTAACTTGCTCTATTCTATCTGTTTTCTTTTATCTATTATATAATAAAAAAAAACGTGTTACGTGTTCTGCGTTAAGCTGAGTCTTGTTATAGCACTTGCACATCATTGCTCTTTTGTTGGTTTTGATTGCTTCTGTTGTCCTCGTTTGTAAGTCGCTTTGGATAAAAGTGTCTGCTAAATGACTAAACGTAAATGAATGTAAATATAATCATGTAAATAAAACAAGAAAATACTATTTCAGTCTTTCTACTTCAACATTTCATGTTTAATTCAATGTTAACTAACATTTCTTTGTAAGTATCTGTGAAATGTAGATAAAAGTAATTTATGAGTGAAAATTATACGACAAATTTATTCAGTGTACAGTTGGTGTTTACAAAATTAGTAACAAAATCTGAAACAATTTTCACGCAGAAATTGCAATTAAATTTCACAAATAGTTACAAAGAAATGGCAAATAACTATTTGAACTAAACATGAAGTTTTAAAGTATAAAGCCTAAAATTGTATTTTCTTATTTAAAAAACACACTTTAATAATCTGTTTTATTTACAAAATGAAAAATCATGATTTTTCGAAGTTGTAAATAAAGATTATTCAGGGGATTTTTAATTACTTTAAAATGTCACCTTTCATTTAATGTATTACTTGCCTTTTCTTTGTAATTTGTGAAATTTACTAGCAATTTATGAGTGAAAATTGTTTCTACACTATATTTTTTAGTGCATGATTGTTCGATGTTGAAAATAAAACAAAGATTAATGGAGTGCATTTTATAAGAATACAATGTTAGTCTTTCTACTTCAAAATTTCATGTTATACTCAATATTACTTGACATTTCTTTGTAATCATCTGTGAAATTTACTAGCAATTTTTGAATGAAAATTATTTCTACAGCATTTTGTAAATAATTTTGTAAACACCAACAACATGAAACCTTACTGTAAAGTGTTACCTAGATATTTTATTTTTTTAGTACAAATAGCACATTACTTCAGTTTACATTTCTACATTAGAAATAAAGTTTACATTTGTAAATTAACCATATAATTGTGCATTGTAAAAACGATTTTTCAAAATTGTAAAGATGGAGTACTTTTGACAGAAAAAATACTATCTCAGTCTTTCTACTTCAAAATTCATGTTTAAATCAGAGTTATTTGACATTTCTTTGTAATTATTTGTGAAGTCAGCCATTTCTGAGTGAAAATTATTTCTACACCAATTTTTTTTCAGTGCATTACTTTTCAAAGTTCTGAAGTACTTATTACAAGAAGATACTATGTATAATTCCATATTACTTGCCGTTTCTTTGTAATTATTTGCGAAATATACTAGACAAGTGATTGTTTTATTAATGTTTCATTGTTGATGTCAAAAATCTTCAAAAAAGACACTTTTGTCCAACAATTATGGCATACATCACTACTTGATGAATATGACGTATATGAGAGCTGTGAGTGGGTCGATTTGTTCAGCTCGGTTCTCGAAGCAGATTGGAGAACGACATGCCAATGTCAAAGCGCTTGAGATGTACAAAGAAGCCCGGCTCTTCAGCGAAGTTGGCGGCGCATTGCTGCTGGGCTTTGCCTGTCCACAAAGAATTCACGGCTCACAGCACCCAAGCGGGAAAAAGCGGTGGAAACCTGCTCCTTGCAATGTAGCAATTTTAAGGAGGATCACTATGGCCCCTTTCTCAGTCCTGATAGCAGCTCAGAAGCAAAATGACAGGCCAATGAAGAATTTATTTGAAATCTCACCAGGAACCGAGAGGCTTGCTGAACAGAGTATATTAGAGCGGCGGAGACAGGATTTCAATGCATGGGGCTTCAAATTACTTCTGATGCTTGAAAAGAGGTGCCACTGAATAAAATTGGCCAGGAAATGGCTATGAAGATCTATAATTTGATTCTTTAGTGTGTGTGTGTGTGTGTGTGTGTGTGTGTG